TTGCAACTTAATTCCTCGCAAATGAATAGTCAAATTTGGGAGTTGTTGATGAAAAAGTGTAGAATAAATGACATTGAATGCATTTTAGGGGGGAAAAATCATGAAATTTCAGATTTTACTGCAAATTCAAGGGAATTTCAAATTTTTCAGAAGCTGCAACTCTAGAATTGCTCCATTTAGTTCTCTAAGAACCTGTGGATGAGAAAGAATCCCAACTTTGTCTAATTATCAGGAATTTTGGTTATTTTGGGAGAACCATTACTCTAAAAAAAATTACAAAATTTTCCTCGAACATGAAAAAATTATATTTTCAGAGAATGGATAAACATCCTTGAAGACATCAAACGATTACTTTTCCAAACCCCGATGAACTCTAAATTCTGACCTGTCTAAAACACCCACCACTGGGCCCCAAAGTAGGTCAATTACAGACCGAAGAATTGAATTGATGATCGTATGAACAGGATTCCAGAGGGAGATCTGAAGTTTCAAGGTCCTTCGGAATTTGTCTTTGCCTCGAAATCTAAAATTATTCAATTCTCAAACCCGAATTTACAGTTAGAGCGTCACGATGTAGTCTCTTCGAACTCATTATAAACGACTCATAATCATTTCCACTGAAATATTGGAATCAACACGAGAGACGGGTGATAAGAACCAGTAGTAATGATTTAAGTGGTGTGAATGTCTTAGAGATTCTATAACTAAGTAGGGTAACTTGGCCAATAGACAGTCGATTTCACCTTTTATTGACAATCGGGTGAGACATCGACTGAAGACGCTACCGTTCATTTCGATTTCCAGCAGAAATACTGAATTATAATTACGCGACGGTAGTTTCACACAGGAAACTGTACAGGACTTCTATTTTGCTTCCGAATGGAAGCATTGTAATCGTTCAAATTTAAGTTTTGGACTTCTTGTGTTATATCGATCTATTATGATCCAGAACGTCCGAAAATGCAATTTTTAGATCGTGTCCGTACGTATGTGCGTATGCAGGGGAGGTTGGGGTAAAATGGCCACATTCGATTTTTTTTAATGTTAATGACAGGTTGAAATGGTGGTGAAATTTAATTTTTTTTTCAATGCAAACAATAATTCTTTCCCTTTGTGATGAGCCTAAACTGAGCTCAATTGATAAATTTGTTTCTGAGTTATGAGTAATTAAAAAAAAGTCCAAAAATCGGTTTTCCCACGATAACTAAATAAATTAGCAATATACTTCCGAATGGTCATTTTACTTATTTTTTCCCATTGTATATTATTCATAGCCTATTTTATTTTCTTGAATTGAATCAATTTCTTTCCAACTAATTGTTTTAGATTTTCCACTTATTGAAATTCCAAAAATTTCTGAAAATTTCTATGAAATATCATTAGGGATATTTCATTTATTCATAATTGAATGCATTCAAAACATCACATTTAAAGGAATCATCAGAAAGCTAACTTTCCGGAGAATTCATGGAAAATTCGAAATTTTTAAAAATTATCCTAAAAATCAAATTAACCGAGACAGTTATTGTAACCATCTGCTAACTTTGATATAGACGCATATAAACAAAAATATAAAGCTACGATTGAATTTATTTCAAGCGCAATATCCAGAGATATCTGTGAAATTCTGATTTTCGAAAAATACGACATTTTGAAAAAATTGCACAGAAATCAAAATAACGATTATTGCTATCGCTTTCATCTTCGAACTCGGTCAAAAAGACATTCCAATGAATTTTTTAAGCCGTCATTCAATGAATTAAGAACATTTTTTTTGTTATCGTGTTACAACTGAATTTTGGAAGAATTCAAAAATTTTAACAATGAATCAATGAATTAAATTTTAATTAATGGCGATGGATAGGGCTTGGTAATACCTACACTTGAGAGAAAAATGATTCAATTTCATCTATTCATTAACGAGAAATTGAAGAAAAAGTTTGTTACATACACACATACATATATATGATCGTACGGACACCGTCTAAAAAATGCATTTGCGGACTTTTGGGATCATAACGGGTCGATATAACACAAAAAATAGAAACCTTGAATTTGAACGATTACAATGCTTCCATTCGGAAGCAAAAATGTTCTGAATTGATTGAATGAGGGCTTCAAAAATTTGTTTGGATGTCCCTTCGACCGAGTTCGAAGATGAAAGCGAAAGCAATGATCGTTATTTTGATTCATTCGAAAATTTTCAAAAATTTTGAATTTTTTGAAACTCAGAATTCCGGGGATATTTTTGAATATCATGCTTCAAATGAATTCAATCATGGCTTAAAATATTGGTTTTAATGCTACTAAGTCGAAGTTAAAAGATGATTACGATAGCTATATTTTTTTATTTGACTTTTATGATAAGTGTTGAAAATTTTGAATTTCTCATGAATTTCTCTAAAAGTGGGCGTTCTGATGGTTTCTTAAAATGCGATGTTTCAGATTCATTCAAGGATGTGTAAATAATTTTTTTCTATTAACAGCAAGATTAGTTAAAAAGAAATCGTATTCAATTTAAAAAATGAAATAAACAACGAATTATACATGACAGAAGGAAATTATGTGCAAAATAACTATATATACTATATGCAACACAAGCGCAATTCCCCACTTGTTTTCCAACACTACAACGCACCAGATTTTGTTCATCAATTTTTTGTGATTAGAAAGAAATTACTGAAAAATAATGAATATTACAGGGTACCACGCACGAAAAAATTTAAAAGAAAAACCTATCAAATTCGTTAGAAAATTCTATTGAATTTCTATTAAACTTTCTATAAGTTTTTGGCTGATTCAATTGATATGTTCAATAGAAAAAGTTAACAGAATTCGATTTTTCTATATAACTCATTCTTTTCATATATTTTCTATAGAATTTGCTCGACTCAAATTTTCTAAGTTTTTTTTCTTTCTATTTTTCTTTTCTTCTCATCAAGAAAATCAAACGAAAAAACTTATATAATTTGAGCCGAGGAAATTCTATAGAAAATATCTCAATAGAATAAGTTATATAGAAAAATGGAACTCTATTGACTTTTTCTGCCGAATATTTTCTATTGACCATTTCAATAGAATCGGCCAAAAACTAATAGAACAGTTCAATAGAAATTCATCAGAATTTTCAATAGAATTTTCTATTAAACTTTCTATTAGTTTTTGGCTGATTCTATTGACATGTTCAATAGAAAAAGTTAACAGAATTCGATTTTTCTATATAACTCATTCTTTTCATATATTTTCTATAGAATTTGCTCGACTCAAATTTTCTAAGTTTTTTTTCTTTCTATTTTTCTTTTCTTCTCATCAAGAAAATCAAACGAAAAAACTTATATAATTTGAGCCGAGGAAATTCTATAGAAAATATCTCAATAGAATAAGTTATATAGAAAAATGGAACTCTATTGACTTTTTCTGCCGAATATTTTCTATTGACCATTTCAATAGAATCGGCCAAAAACTAATAGAACAGTTCAATAGAAATTCATCAGAATTTTCAATAGAATTTTCTATTAAACTTTCTATTAGTTTTTGGCTGATTCTATTGACATGTTCAATAGAAAAAGTTAACAGAATTCGATTTTTCTATATAACTCATTCTTTTCATATATTTTCTATAGAATTTGCTCGACTCAAATTTTCTAAGTTTTTTTTCTTTCTATTTTTCTTTTCTTCTCATCAAGAAAATCAAACGAAAAAACTTATATAATTTGAGCCGAGGAAATTCTATAGAAAATATCTCAATAGAATAAGTTATATAGAAAAATGGAACTCTATTGACTTTTTCTGCCGAATATTTTCTATTGACCATTTCAATAGAATCGGCCAAAAACTAATAGAACAGTTCAATAGAAATTCATCAGAATTTTCAATAGAATTTTCTATTAAACTTTCTATTAGTTTTTGGCTGATTCTATTGACATGTTCAATAGAAAAAGTTAACAGAATTCGATTTTTCTATATAACTCATTCTTTTCATATATTTTCTATAGAATTTGCTCGACTCAAATTTTCTAAGTTTTTTTTCTTTCTATTTTTCTTTTCTTCTCATCAAGAAAATCAAACGAAAAAACTTATATAATTTGAGCCGAGGAAATTCTATAGAAAATATCTCAATAGAATAAGTTATATAGAAAAATGGAACTCTATTGACTTTTTCTGCCGAATATTTTCTATTGACCATTTCAATAGAATCGGCCAAAAACTAATAGAACAGTTCAATAGAAATTCAATAGAATTTTCTAACGAATTCGATAAGATTCAAGATTCAACAAGATTTATTAACATAGATAGATATTTACAAACAAGACCACAATATGGTATAAGTTTATACATAGAAGATTGATCGGTATAGTATCAGCCCGGAGGCTACAACATATCTATAATATGAGGGGTGAAAAATGGGTTAACAATATGAGGGATGGAAATGGGGAGATGCTGGATAGGGAAAATTTTGTATATTAAAAAACCCTATTACACCGAATTCGACAAGTTTTTCTATTAAATTTTTTCGTCCGTGACACCAATGCCCGAAAGATGAGGGTCCATCCACAGGGAATCTCACCTATAACCATTCCCCCATGACTTCCACATTTCGTCATGTGCAGCTCTCATCTCCCGTCCAACCAACTCATCCATCAATATCAGACCCTCCGCAGCCTGAAATTTCCCTCACCCCTATGCCGCCAGTACCCACCGACAAAAAGTAAAAATGAATGAATGCGTCAATGCGTGAATAACAGATGAAAGGTAAAATGTATCTGAAGAGAAAGAGTTATCCACGACGCGGTGAACCAGGGGGGCAAGAGGTACTTCCGAATGAACGAATTACAAACTAGTCAGAGGAGGCAATAGCGTGAACGGTCAGCGGATCGTGGGGGCTCGAGGATGGGCTCACCGGAGGATGGGTGGAATGGAGTGGATGGACGGGGCCGGGAGATATAAGAGCAAGTCGGCCCGGCGTTTCGCCGTTTCACACTCTCACCTCGCGCCAGGAAGGTCTCATCCTTCTTGTTGAGTCCGACAATCCGTGCTCCATACCCTGTGCTTTATCAATTTAATTAATTTTGTTAATCAACTGATAACACGAGGAGGTGAGTTTCAGTGCGGTTCGACTGTCATCGATTCCTCCAAAAACAGTGATTAGAAGAGAAAAATACAGGAAGTTGTGTCTTCGGGTGAAGCTTAAATGGTTTTTACGTATATTTCAGAGAGCCATGAAGACAGTGGCGGTGATATTGCTCCTGGCGATTGGATGCTTGGCGATTATTGCAAATGCATCACCAGTGCCTGATAAAAAATCGGATGTTAAGACCGATGAGGTTTCAGGCAGACAAGCTGCTGCAGCAGCCCCTCCTGGCGCCGATGAAGACGACGACGACGATGACGACGATGACGACGATCTTGGTGACATCGCAGGTAAGATCGCGAATAACGAATAGAAAATATCGAAAAATGAATTGAATCGGATGAATTGTGTTCTTCTGAAGTCAATTAGAAGCGGAAAATTTCTGATGACATTGAATTATTTTTCAGGCGTGGACTACGAGGACGACGACGACGACGACGACGAGACTGAGGACGACGATGACGACGATGACGACGACTACCTGGAGCGATTCATCGAGGACATACTCGGGGGTAAATATGTGAATACTTAAATCGTAAACCACCGTTACATAGTCGTGTATGCGTACTAACGCACGATGTAACGGTATGGGAAGCTCTCCAAGTTAAACTCAACACACGTATTTAACATAATTCGTGCGGCTGTTCGGTTGGTACCATAATTCGACGTGTCCCACTTCGGTGACCCACATACCTTATAGAAGATGATGGCGCTAGGTCGGAAGGTGTGCGAGGGCTGTCCACCGTTCCTCATTGTCAAAGAGATTACGATCCTTGCGCGGGTGAAAAATTCAATGGAAAAACCTGGCGAATTCGTTGGTAAATTCAGTTGAAATGCTCAAGAGAATTCGATTTTTCTGTGTGACTTATTCTATTAAGACAATTTCTATTGAATTTCCTCGGCTCAATTTTTTTTTGTTTGAATAGAACAGGGCGCGCGCTGCGTTGGCGGGTATTGTTTTCCATGGGTGCCAGTCCATCCATTTTTATCTCAATAATAATAATGCAGGAAAAATGAGTGGTATCAATAGTTTTCCACAATGAGAATTTAATTGGTGAATAATTTATTCGGAATCGTCATAATCCTCTTCATCTTTTTTTTCGTTTCTCTTTTGCTTTTTGCGTTCTTTTTTATTTATAGGGATGTGTTATATACTATATACATATATACTCTCCTCTATATATTTTTTTAATTTTTTTTACAGAATTATATCAATTTTTTTACAGTTGAAAAAATTTTAAGTATAAAAAAATATATCTGCGTATAGTATATATAGCATGTATTATATACCAGATAAAGTATATATTGCCTAATATATACATACATACTATTTTATATATATATTTTTTTCACATCACTGTTTTTATCACTATAAACGAAAGATTACAGTGCATAAAAAATATACATAGACATCATATTAGAGTACTTGATAAGCGGAGTAGAGGCTTCAAAAATCGCTACACTGTATTTTCGAAAAGAAAAGACAAATCATTAACGAAGCGGTAAACCGGATCGATTTCGACTTTTGGTCAGTTTTTGATAAATATCTCGGAATCTAAAAGAGATAGCAAAATTTTTCTCACTACCTTTTTTACAACCCTCAATTGGCTCTACAAAAAAGGGCTTGACAAAAACTTGTCTATCTCTTTTAGATTCCGAGATATTCATAAAAAGCTAGCCAATACTCAAAATCGACTTGACCCGGTTTACCGCTTCGAACTGAAATAGAATGAAAAAAACATGGAACATTTGAGTCGAGGAAATTCTATAAAAAATATCTGACAAGAATAAGTTACATACAAAAATCGAATGCTATTGACTTTTTCCATTGAACATTTCAACAGAATCGGGCAAAACCTGCCATAAAATTCGATAGAAATCCAACAGAATTTTCCAATGAATTCGAAATTTTTCATTAACCCGTTGCTTCCTCTCAGGCTACCCCACTTTTGTCGTTTTGTAGTGGTGTGCGAGCGCCAGCGGGCTTCTCTAATAGCGCACTAATACTCGGACGGGCCCCCCACTCCTCTCACACCGAGGCGATTTGCAACTTACGCGAAGTAATGGGTTAAATTTTTTCGAGCGTGTGATTACGATCGTTGCCGCATTCCCATTCTATTCCACATAACAACGATAATTACAATGAACGGTTCAATGTCAACAGGTGAGGACGACGACGACGATGACGACGAAACGCCAGCGGTCGTCGAACCAGTGCAGCCAGCGGTTCCAGTGCAGACTCAGGCCACTGCTCTTCCCGTCAGTGTCCAATCAGACCTGAACGCCGAGGATGCAGCCAACGCCGCCGAGGCTGTTGCCGACGTCAACGACTCAACTGGCTCGTACGAGGAGGAAGACATTCAACCCGAAGGTCAGGCTGTATCAGCAATTGATGGTGGTGAAACTGCTGGTAATGCTGTTGCCGTCAATCAGCAAGCCATATCAACGCCATCACAAACTGTTGACAGTGACGAGGACGACGATGACGACGATGACGATGACGACGATGACCTTGGTTTAGACATAACTGAAGACGATGACAGTGAGGAGGATGATGACGAGGAGGATGATGCTGATGAAGAGACTGACGACCTCGATGATATTGTCGACATTGCTGATGCACGGCGTGCACGTGAGTTCAAGGGCAAGACAAAGAAACACACTAACAATCGCTCGCGCAAGCACGCGAGGGGAAAAAAGAGTATCAAGAAGCACGATACAACGAAATAGGATTTTTTTTCTTCCGTCAATCTTTAATCAGAGACCAAAAACAGACGAGGTGGCTTTCGACCCTTCATTGAATGATTATTACCATCATTTATTCTTAATGAGATTTTGAACGCGTCGAGCTTAAGGGCCCACCGACGCTCAGCGTCTGAGGAATGTGGTTTTCAATTATTTTTCTTTCGTGTTTTCGTAATGACTCTCATGGAAAAATATATTATATATAATGTATAATATATAATATATAATATATAATATATATTTTTCCGTATGAGGATTTTAATTGTGAGAACGAAAGAATCGCGGCCCTTTCTCCATTTCTCTCATCTACTTCATCTATTTATTATTTATTTATGTATTTATTAGTCTGTCTGATTAATCCGAGCGTGCTTTTGTTATGTTTGGAATTATTTGAATCCTCAGTGGCATTTTAATACCCTCGGGTGATGAGTTTATTTGTCTTGCAGCTCGAAAGCAACGTTAACGCATTAATTTATTAAATTTTAACGTGGAAAATGATGAAAATTCACTGTATTTCGGACTCATTCTTCTGTGTCCGGGGTGGTGGATGGAATTGTAGTTTGCGTTAAAATGCCAATGCTTTGGTGACGTCACGTATTTTCTCCTCGTGAAACGGTATATTGAAGATTTGTGGAAATAGTAATTCGGATTTTGCTGACAATGTGAAAGAATGAAATTATTGTACAGACTGCTAGCGCGCGTGTGACTCAGCGAGTGCAAGTTTCCGAGGGGAAAATCCATTGCCTCTTATTCATGAAGAACAAAATTTCCACGTGAATTTCGTACGACAAAAAATAATGAGATAAACATAAACTGTTGTATTTTAATCTGTTATATAGTGTACAGAGACATGTCAATGTTCAATTCGAATTTAAACAGAATGAAGAAAAAAAATGATGAAAAAATACGAAAAATATAGATAATTTATGATTTTTACAAAATTGTGTTTTTGATTGTTATTCATTTTCATTGGAATCGAGGTGGGGTTCGTTGTCCAGAGACTCGGTGTTACAGTGAATTCGTCAGTTAGTCATTATTAGTCAAAAATTCTGGCCCAAACGTGACGCGCCGAAAGCCAAATGCATTTTAACGTATTGTTGTTTATTTTTCTATCTACTTTTGATTAATTCGCTCATTTATTCAGTAGTACTTGGTGCACAAATATTCGGGTGACAGTAGACTGTAACAATGCGTAACTGGACAGAACCTTACTCGACTCAAATGAGATAATGATGAAAAAACTTACCATTCATTGACTATCATCAAATCAGCAGCGAACTGGTAAAACGGTTCAAGTCAATTTTGACTATTCGTCAGTTTTCGCGAATATCTCGGAATCTAAGCCAGATAGCAAAATTTTTGTTGAACCCAATTTTGTAGCTCTCAATTCGCTCTACAAAAAAAGTTATTACGAAAATTTCGCTATCTCCCTTAGATTCGGAAATATTCCTCAAAAACTCAACTGGGAGATGAGTCGACTTGAACCGTTTTATCACTTCGCTACTGAAATATCCCGACATTCCCATCTGTCATTACTATCTTAAGCTCCTTGTAGTTGTAACAAAATAATCGTAGTTGCTTCATTTAATTGCTTTCTTTTAAAGATACATTTTACTCAAACGATAATTCACTGTCTGTCTCCCAAAGACGTCAGATTCGTCGGTTTAACACACGAATTTCGATACGAAAGAAAGTAATTGATTGGGCGTGGTTGGCTCCATTCTTCAATATTTTATCGTCAACATCATTGGGGCGACGAGGGGAGGGGGTCAAACACTTGGGAATATTAAATGGGCTTTCACCGGGGCAGACTTTGTCATCAAAAATGTTCCATGTGGTGTATCCTTTTTTTTATTCCACCAAAATCGAGGCCAGTGACCCGGAGTGGCTCTGGAGAACAGGCTGACCCTGACCCAGTGAGATCTTGGCTGTGATTCCGGCTCCTCCCTGTTCATTTTTTTTAAATAATGTTTAATCACCTGTCGGGTGAACTGTCGACTCATTCCCCCGGTCCATTTCATCTCTGAAACAACAGAATTCGTTGTCGAAGAAGTCTTTTTTTTATCAGTGGGGATCGATTAGTTCACGCACGGAAGAATTTCGATGAAAAATCTAGCGAATTCGCTCGGCCATTCTACTGGATTTCTATTCAGTAGCGAAGTGGTAAAACGAGTCAAGTCGACTTGGCTCTTCGCTGAGTTGTCGAGGAATATCTCAGAATCTAAGGGAGATAGCGGAATTTTTGTAATAACTATTTTGTAGAGCGAATTGAGAGCTACAAAAATGGTTTTGACAAAAATTTTGCTATCTGGCTTAGATTCCGAGATATTCATTGAAAATGTTTTACCGCTTCGCCAGTGTATTGAACTTTCTATTAGCTTTTGGGCGATTCTATTGAAATGTTTGATAGTAAATATCTTCGATTTTTCTGTACAACTTATTCTATTGAGATATTTTCTATAGAATTTCCTCTGAATTTCCTATTTTTTTGTTTAATTTTTTCAGGAAAAGAAAAAAAGATTGGAATGGAATAAGTCGAAAATAAGTGTGGCTTTTCAGAAAAAAATATTTATGGTAGAATTGCTGTAAAAAACACTTGAAATTTCCCTGGAAAATATGAAATCAGACAGATATTTGAACACAGCATCAATTCATCTTTATTGAATTTCACCCAACTCAACTGATCTGATTGAGAATAAAATCGCATTAAATTTAAAATTTACGTATCAAGATTAGTCGGTGAACAACGAGTTGATTAAACATTCGCAAATAAAAAAAGACGATTTTTGTCGTCAACTTTTCCATTTTTTCCTTTCTAAAAGAAAACAAGTCAAGAATAAGCCCCCAGAAGCGAAACAAATCGATAAGATAATGACACGTGACTTTTTACAAAAAAAAGATTTTTGGTTGAATTGCTCTATACCACGATGTATTGAATCGATCGACACAAAATTGTATACAGAAGTGTGACTCAATAATACTAATTAGTAGTCAAAATCTCAGATGTCTATTTCAAGTTTTCGCGGATTACGGAACGCCACATTAACTCTCAATTGAAGAAATTAGAAAAACGCGAATATCTCGAAAACTTTGCGTGAACGGGTATTCATATTTTGATTGATCTCGATAGGGAGCGGCAAGACGAGTATTTTGAAAAAAAAATTAAATTAATCGGACCAGTTGTTTAGGAGATATTGAATAAAACAGCTTTTCACAAAAAGGTGAATATCTTCTAAACCACTTGTCCGCTTTCGCCGATCCACAATCCCATCCTGCAATATTATAAGAGCTACAATCTCACTAAATTTCAACATCCTACATCAATTTTTTCGGGAGTTACCATGCACAGACCGATTTTCTCATAAAAACGAAGAATGCCGATTATTACCAAACTCTCCCTAGTTTCATAGCAATAGTGTGATTTGATTTGATGGATATTATCACGAGGAATAATTTGACGTCAAAAAAATTCAATTCAGTCACGTAGTTTTCGAGAAATTGGGGAAAAAAGATTTTTGAGAAATTGCTGTATCTCGGAAACTACTTAACCGATTGACCTGAAATTATGTCTAGAAGTGCTCCAAAGTAATACCAATTATGTGACAAAATTTCAGATTTTTAGCTTCAACTTTACTTCTTTTTCTGTGAAGATTTATAAAAAAATTTCGAACAATTCGCCCACATTTTTTAAAAACATCATATCTTCACATTTCACGACAATCTACGTCATTTTCAGGCAAAATGAGAAAATCGTCAAAACCAACGATTTCAAAGCTTCCATTTGGAAGTAAAAACTTGGCAAATTTGAACCGAAGAAATTCTACACTAAGAGAAAAATATCGTAGTTTTGACGGAATATATCATATTGAATGCATGTTCTTTCATATAAAAATATAATTTCAGTCTTTTAACATTGTAATTCTTCATTTCAAGAGTGGATTCCCTAGAGAACGTAGATACCGGAATATTCCTTTGAAAATGAGGCCTTATTTCATTCAAAATATGTTATTGAATACGATTCCATTGATCTCGTCTACAATAATGTTTCAAATCGACGGAACCGGATGCATCCACATAAATATTAAAATTCAATGAAATATTCAGGGAATACGAAGGAATATTTGATCGATTGGAGCCCTCATTAGATGAAATCACAAGTCTCCTGTTTGGAGCCTTTAAATCACCTATTGGAGGATACATACAGTTTAATCATGCAATCGGCTGAAAGCGACGAAATATTCCGTATCGCCAATGGATTCTTTCATTGGCACTATTGAAAAGCACTGAGCGATTGAGTCGAAAAACAATCCGTCCGTTTTACTACATTTTTCTCTCAGTGTACACTGAGAAAAATTTCAATGATTATTTTTCCAACCCAAATATCGGGCAATATAATTGGCCCATTCAACGTCACGTGGTACAAGCTACAGGGTTTTCAACTGATAATTTTTTGATAATTTTCTCTGGTAGTTGCTATATAAAAAACAAAACATCAAGCAGTCGAATTAACCCCTCGTCAAACTGACAAATTGAATTCCTTTGTGTCGTTGTATTAATTATACAATTTTCGTTTCTCAATTGTGAGTTTCGTCTCATGGTCCAATTATATTGCCCGACATTTGGATTGGAAAAATAATCCCCCAAATACCACACGAGCTTCAAAATTAATCGGGCATTTTCCTCAAGGTTCCCTGCATGCAAATGAAATCGTCAAGTTTTTCAGGAAAAATCACTCGTGTTTCGCACTCGTGATTTTGTAACCTGAAAAACTTGACTCCTTCGTTTGTTTGCAAAGAACCTATCGGGAATTGCTCGATAATTTTGAAGCTCTCGTGGTATTACTTGCGGTAATTTTGCCTACAAGGGAATTGTCAAAGACATTATATTTACAGTAACAATAAACATTGCAGATTAAACAAGGATTCATCGTTCGATTTACTATGTCAAATAGTGTAATCAACATTGTAATGTAATTTTCACTTTAATGTAGTAGTTGAATCTGCAATGTTTATTGCTACCGTAACTATTATTTTTTTGACAATTCCCTTGTAGTTAAAATTACCATTGAAATTTCTCTCAGTCTATAGAAAATATCTCAACAGAATAAGTTGTGTAGAAAAATCGAATTCTATAGAATATTTCAATAGAATCGACCGAAAGCTAAAAGAAAATCCAATACAATTGTCTAACGAATTCGCCAGGTTTTTCGGTGAAATTTTTTCCTACGTGTTTACACGGATTGATTTACATCAACATATTTATCATCTGTGGTGGATAAATCGTGGATTTAACGTTGACTGATGATTCTGGGCGAGGGAATGTCCGCAAGAAACTGGCTCAGTGGGGTTTTTAGTTGGAAGAGGCGTAATATGGGGCCAATGACCCACATCGGGATACCAGTTTGGTCAGGAGATTACGCCCGTTAAACACTGTCCGGTTACCCCTTCCAGTGACGATGTAGTACGTAAAGTAGGCTCCCTCGCTTCCTTCTTCCTCGTTCACCTTTTTATTTTCTCCCCCCTCCGCGGGTTTTACCTCATCCCTTCCAGCTTGTACTACACCTATTGGGTCCATCGTGTACCCGACTTTCTTCCAAGGGCGAAAGGAGGTCGATCGTGTTTGAACGAATGACCTCACGAAAAATGCGGACAAGGACACGGGTTATCGGGGAATCGATTCCCCTCTGGTGGATTATTAATTTACTCTTGGGTTAATTTGGATCAAGTGGTTTTGGCGAGGGTGATAATGATTGTTTTTATGTAGGTGCCATGGAGGGGGAAACGGCGTCCGATGTGTCCGCGATTTATGTCGCCAAGTACAATAGGTTTGTGGATAATATTCTGGGGAGAATCAACAAAATTCTGAGGGCCAACTATGATCCCGTCACTGTTAAACTCACCAGGAACAGTGTCAAAGCTAATAAGGGCAAGTCGAAGAAGAAGAAGAATAAGACTAAGTCCAGGATTGCTGGCAGGGACTCCGGTGCTGATGTGAGTTTTTACTACACAAGACCTATGCGCGCACGGCCGCAAGACTAAAATGTCAGAGCCATAAAAATCGAAGAAGAAGAAGAAGACCTATGCGCGCGCTCTCGCGCGCGCTGATCTATCGATTTGTTGAAATGAAGAAATGGAGTTAATTGAATTTCATTTTCTCATGAATACCTTATGAATATTGATAATGAATCAAAGAGAATTCGACTAATGATTGAAGTGAATAGCGAAGTAGAGTAAAAGAATCTATAAAGAATTTTTCATTTTCAATTAATTATCTTCAATTTTTTAAAATAATCGGTCTCCATAAAAGGACAGAATTTATTAATTTCTCCGATGATATATATACATGTGAAATATATACATTATATATATATGAAGTGAAAAAAAAATTTACCACTGAAGAATTTGAAAATGCCGCGTTTTTTTTTTTGTGAATAACTTTGTGTCACATATTGACCAATCAGAATTAAAGATTAGCGGTCAGGCAGTTTCGAGATATTTCGATATAAAACAACTTCACGTTTCTGTCATCTTTAGTAAATAGGATTTTCCTCTTTTCTGTGGACAAAGGTCAGGTGTCGCGGAACATTACGCGACGGAACAGCTCGGGTTTTCACTGATTTTTGCGGGTTTATTTGTCGTGATGATGATGCGGCTAGAGATGCAAAATGACCGTCATTTTTTAGATCGCGTCATATGACCAAAAAATGACGGTCATCTGACGCACAAATTTTCCAACTACAAATGATTGTCACAAATCATTTGTAACCAAATTGTTGTCGAACCATCTATATAGTTGCATAATGACGGTCATAACTAATTTCCAATTTGTGACGGTCATGAATAAAACAAAATAGTTTCATCTATATGGATGGAAAAAAAACGGGATTTCCATTTCAAAATGCGAATTAGGCCAGTACAAAAGGAATTCAACTGAAAATTGACCGAGAAAAAAATAAAGTTTCATCTATGTAGATGAAAAATGACTGTCATTTTTTCTTGACAAGTTGTGACGGTCACAGAAGGGGGAGGGGGAATTGTGACAGCTGTCATGAACGCCTCGTCATGGGACCGTCAATGACGGTCACATGAGACGTCCCTGCTTGTCTCAAAGACGAGAATATTTTGTTTATAACAAGAAAAGCGTTTCTCAAATCAAGTCTAGTTGAATTAATTTATTCAATAGTTTTCAAGCCTCAACTACAATGCAAAAACCATTTCAATGCAAAAACAACTTGATGTGGTTCGAGCAGTAGTTTTCTTGTTGTGAACAAATTGCCCCTCATTCTTCGGACGAGTACAAAATCTCTTGACGAACGTTTTCTTTTCTCAATGGGAGATATTCTGTTCTTGTCAATTTTCGAGCCATGAGCTTCTTGATACAAGTACTTCTCAAATTTTTTTTGTAATACCTGCCTCAAAAGTTCACTTTTCGAAACCGTTTAGTGTGTGTAAAGTGGTTGTTTTACACACAATGTGCGTAAAGTTCAGAGGTTGTGCGTAAAGCTTCGCTTTACGCACTTGAAATTTACTTTACGCACGACCTTGAACTTTACGCACACCGTGCACAAAAGCAACCACTTTACCGCCACTACGGTTCCAAACAGTGAACTCGGCAGGGGGCCTATTCTCGAAATATTTCCGTGCGCGGAATCGACTCCGTTGACGGAACGCCTGTATGATTCCTACACGGAATTCGTCTACGAAGCCACTTCCGTGCACGGAAATATTTTGAGAATAGACCCCCAGGTCCTGTTTTACTAAAGATGAAAGAAACGTGAAATTGTTTTATATCGAAATATCTCGAAACTGCCTGACCGCTAATCCTTAATTCTGATTGGTCAATCTGTGACACGAACTTATTCACAAAAAACACACGCGGCATTTTCAAATTCTTCAGTGACATAATTTCAAATTCTTCAGGGGTAAATTTTTCTTTCACGTCATATATATATATATGATATATATTTTTCACATGTATATATATCATCACATGTGTATATATCATCGGTGAAATTAATAAATTCTGTCCTTTTATGGAGACCGATTATTTTAAAAAATTGAAGATAATTAATTGAAAATGAACAATTCTTTATAGATTCTTTTACTCTACTCTACTCTACTTCAATCATTAGTCGAATTCTCTTTGATTCATTATCAATATTTATAAGGTATTCATGAGAAAATGAAATTCAATGAATTCCATTTCTTCATTTCAACAAATGAATAAATCAGCGCGCGCGAGAGCGCGCGCATAGATCTTGTATTACAAAAAATAGGATGTGTTACGTGTGCGATTCTTTACCCACTTGTAACACAATATACTATTTCAGTCTAGAATTGATCGCTTCGCCAGTGAAGTGATTTTTCATTTTTTCGTGCTTCGACTCAGATATTTGTTCGTGCAGTTAATTGATCGTTCCACGGGGGGGAATATTTTCAGGAACCAACGACCACGTCGAACCTGGAAACCCAGTCAACGGAAGCGGGCACGATCCGTAGTGATGCATCTACTGAGAAGTCGACGAGCAGTCGGGCAACTGTTAAAGATAGTAAACCGAAGAGAACCGTGACCAAGAGCAAGAAGAAAACACCCAGTAAAGGATCATCTAAAAATAAGGTGAGGAAATTGACTGCAATTGACTGCTGAATCATTGAGAGTTTATAGTCCTCTGAAATGGAGTGGAAAGAGTCATAAAATTGAGGCGCCTAATGATTCTATTCTCCTCGACGATGATGACGACAGTTAAGATGATGATCCATTCCCAGGAAATTTATTGAACGAGTTCTCACTTTTAAGTTTTCTAATTCTACTTTTCATAGAAGATGGAGTCATTAAAAATTTATGGAAAAACATGGAAAGCTTGGAAATTAATTGTTGTTAATGAATCCACGTTTTATCATGATGATATCTCATATTTGAGAAATTTCGTGAAGAAGGTAAAATTGAAGTGATAAAAGGAGATGAGTCAACTCAATTCGGAGTGAATTATCGAAAAATATCTCTGCCCCTCGGGGAGGTAGTGAAATCTCTGTGAAGAATACTTTTTAATCTCCCTTCGCTCCACCAAACATTCCACGATCTCTTTTGAACTAGTCCATGCTACCACTTCACTACTTAATTAATAGTCCTTTACAACAACGAATGAGTTTCAAAGGTATTAATAACGATTAAAAAGCAACAAATGAAAAGCTATCCGTCCAACGGAAATTTCATCATAGATCTTCATTCGTAAAAATGTCCGAAATAAAATAGTCGGACAGACTTGAAGACAAAAAAAAGAAATAGTAGAGTTGACAAAAACTGATAGAATTTCCAAAAAAATACGAATATCTCCGAAACTACTGACGCGATTGAATTCATCTTCATTACGAAACATTGTTATCATGAGAGGAGAAGATTCTGTCCAAATTTCAAGTTGATATCTCAATTTTTGCACAAGCTAGAGTGTTTCCAACGTTTTTTTTAATGAAAAAACAAAAAAACGGGAATATCTCGAAAACTTTGTATGAACGGGTATATAATTATGATTTGATTGATTTAGGTAGAAGGCGTCGATACGAATATTTAAAAAAAAAATCGAAATCTGTCCGCTAGTTTTGAAAATATTTGCGGAAAACGATTTAAAAATGAATCGCTTTTTCTCAAAAACTATTAGCTCGATTGGGCTGAAATTTTGCACAGAGCCAGTCCTCTTTAGGACCTATAATCTGATCAAATTTCAAATTTTTTGGAATTACTTTAGCCACTTAATTACTCAATTATTACATAATAATCATCCGATAAAATTTTCCATCGCCGATTTGAATTCTTTGCAATTTTTTAAATGCATGCTATAAAAATGTGAGGATAGAAACTGAATTTATAGGTATTGTTCATTATTCATTATTCATTATTCGAAAAAATATATCAATTTTAAAATTTTCCGTAGACATTGAAAAATTAAAAATTCTGTTTTCGTGTTGATTCCGTTTCTCTTCCCCTTTTCACTTTCGTCCATCAGAAGTAGATGATAAAAAGAAAATACACTGGTTTTGCTTCATTATTAAAAAAAAACGTTTTGAAATTTTCAAGATTGAAAAATCGATTTTTTAAATTTATTTCTGATTTTCCTTCTCTACATTTTCTGCATTTCCTATTTCAGTGAACGGAATACGACCACAGAAATAAAAAATGTTAATCTTCCTTCATTTTTTAAGAAAAAAAAACAATTTGAAAAATTTCGAAAGGACATAGAAAAATAGATATTTTCATTTTATTGATACTGATTGATGAGTATCAATCACTCTTTGCAATTTTCTTTTTCGGTTCTACTGAAATGAGATCAAAGGGATGTAAAATGTTTATATTCGTTCACATTTTCAGATCATTGGTATTAATTAATTTCAAGAAGAAGACAGGAATGAAAAATGTTAGGTATGATTATCGAAAATTGTTTGTCGATCTGTATTCTCAGGTGATTTATGGGGAATTTCTCTTCATTCAATGTTGTAACTTGTGAATTAAGGAACAAAAATATATATAATAACAATAAGAATGAATAAAATTGAATTAATCTAATTGTGAAGACGGAAATGGAAAGAAAATAAAATAAAATAACATAGTATAAAGTAATCTAGTGACGGGCGCGAAGCGCCCGTTCGCTAGTTTTGTCAAAATTGACCACCGGAAAAGTGGCGGTGGACGTGGTCACATACAGACATGGTCGCCAAACTTCGTATTTTTACGTTTCAGACCATTCTACAAATTTCCAATCAAAATTAGAGGATGTGAAAATCGAAGGATTGCAATGGTTCCATTCGGCAGCAAAAATTCAATGGAAATCCCCCAGGTTTTCTAACAAATGCGCTGGGATTTTCGATGATTCTTCTTTCCAAATAACTAGAATAATCGAAGGGTTACTCACTCCCGAAATCTGCACCGTCCTGCAACCACTTCGAAATCACGTGAAATCATTGACTTCACGGAAATTACTCAAATCAAGTGATTTGAACTCTCTGAAATAATTTTTAGAACCACTTTTGAAATCGTGTGACGCAGTCAATGACGCCGAAGTAATTTAAGATGTTGAAGTTAATACGTCATTTTCTCTGAAATCATTTATTTCCAATTATGAAATCATTCGAAATCAATTAAAGTCATGAAATAATCATTTCGCTCGACAAAATTTAATAGAAAAACCTAGTGAATTCGTTAGATAATTCTATTGGATTTCTATTGAACTTTCTATTAGTTTTTGGCCGATTCTATTGAAATGTTCAATAGATAATATTTAATAAAAAAATCAATGGGATTCGATCTTTCTTTATAACTTAGTCTCTTCAGATATTTTCTATAGCATTTCCTCGGCTCAAATTTTTCAAGTGTTTTCATTCTATTTTTCTTTCCTTCTCATCATGAAAATCCACACAAAAACTGAGAAAATTTGAGCCCAGAAAATTCTATAGAAAATAGCTCAAAAGTATATGGTGTATACAGAAATCCAATTGTTTTGACTCTTTCGATAGAATATTCTCTGTTGAACATTTCAATAGGATCGGCCAAAAACTAATAGAAAGTTCAATAGAAATCCAATAGAATTGTCTAGCGAATTCGCTAGGTTTTTCTGAAATTACTCAAATAATCGATGTAAACACGTGAAGTAATCGATCAGGGATGGCCATCAATCTTCCGAATCTTCCATATTCATAGTATATTTCGTAACGAGTGCAAAAAAGTGTTTTTTGGCAAGTGGGAGGTTTATATCACGAGCCGAAGGCGAGTGATATAATCCCACCAGCTAAAAAACATTTTTTTACGAGTTACGAACAATATTTTTCATCACAATGTGGCGGAAATTGGATTTTTAGGCACGCGGAGCGTGCCGAAAAGTTCACTTTTCGTCACAGCGTGATGAAAAAGAATTTCCGACTTACATTGATCAAGGTTTGCATATACTAATCGAAATTAAAAAATAGTAAAATAATTGATAATCTAAATTTCTAATTCACGATGAATTAAATATTTAAAAATATGAAACTGCAAAGTTTCTATTAAGTAGACAATACTAAATTTCTTACAAGGGATTTCCGACTATCCAAATAATCATCAATCTTCCTAACTCAATTACTGATTAATGAATAGTTCAAAATTTGATTATTTAAATTGATGATTATTTCAATAATCAAGATTAAACGCCCGGGTGTACTATCTTTCGAACATTATCTCGATGTTTTTTTTCATCTTTCGTCATCTGAAATTTTCAATTGAGTCCTGCATTATGCAGAAGTTTTGAAAAATTATGAATGAATAATCAAAAAAAAAAATTGAAATAATTCTGAATTTTTTCAAAGAGCATTTTTAATCTATATTCAGAATAAGGTGAATAACAAGAAATTGAAAAATGTATCTGATTTATGGTGACAAATGGTGGCCTGTCACCCAATATCATGCAGGGGAAAGACTGATTTTGTAAATTTTTTCCCACACTGCACAGAGACATTTATTACGGGAAAGGCTCTTTGAAAAAAGTTGTAANCATTATCTCGATGTTTTTTTTCATCTTTCGTCATCTGAAATTTTCAATTGAGTCCTGCATTATGCAGAAGTTTTGAAAAATTATGAATGAATAATCAAAAAAAAAAATTGAAATAATTCTGAATTTTTTCAAAGAGCATTTTTAATCTATATTCAGAATAAGGTGAATAACAAGAAATTGAAAAATGTATCTGATTTATGGTGACAAATGGTGGCCTGTCACCCAATATCATGCAGGGGAAAGACTGATTTTGTAAATTTTTTCCCACACTGCACAGAGACATTTATTACGGGAAAGGCTCTTTGAAAAAAGTTGTAATATTTTGGAGAATTTTTTAATCACACTTATGAAAATTGAGATACCTAGCTGTCACTTCCCATGAGAAGTTAGTGTTTTGTTATCCACCATGGAAAATGACAGCTAATAGATCATTTGCCACAGCGAATCAGATATTTGTAATTTCCACTTTTTTCAACTCATTCTGAATATCAATTAAAAACGCTCTTTGAAAAAGTTGAGAATTTTTTCTATTTTTTTATCATTCTATCATAATTTTTGGGAATTTCTACAAGATGTACCACTCGATTGACAATTTTGGATTACGAAAGACGAAAAAAAAACCAGATAACATTCGAAAAATAGTACACCCGGGTCTTAAAAGTGAAACTAACTAATTGACAACTTCATAATTTAACAGTAATTATAATTTACGGATATGGCTATCCCCGTAATCGACTTCATTTCGAAATTATGATGTCACTCAATTATGAAGTGAGCAGCCCCTCGAGAATGATTCAATATCTAATAATTTCCAAACAATCTCCTTGTTCCGCAGGTGAAACAAACCAAGCCAAAATCCAAATCAAAAACGAAAGCGACTCTCTACGGTCTCTCCTCCCTGAAACGATCGGGTGATGTCTCCGTGAACATGATGAGCGATCACACAACAATAAAAACGAAATTCAACCTGGGTCCCCTTATTCTCAAAGTAGAGAAAGAATTCGGAAAAGCAGCCAAGAAGGAGCTGCGCAATGCGACAGCCACGACAGCCGAAATGTCCGGAAAATTGAGTCTACGTGTGCTGCACGGCGGTGCCGCTACACTCCATTCCATTCGGGTCTCCCAACCCAAACAGGTACATAAAAACCGAACCGTGTAAAAATCGTGGCCTCCAATAAGTCCCCAAAAGCTCTCAATTGAGTCTTGATGCAGTCTCACATGCACTGAAAAAAAAAAATTACTTTTGCCAAGGAATCATTTTCTTGAGAGAAGAATTTATTCAAACGAAACTGATGTTCTCGACCATATGCTTTCAAATTGTTAAAATAATTTTGGGCTATATTTAGGTCAGCAGCAGTAAACACTCAAAAAAATTAAGTAATCAAAATTGCAGTACGTTTCGAATGCTCTAAGCATTCTTCCTCAGGTGCATCATTTTATTCTACAAGAACTACGCGCGCGCTCTCGCGCGCGCTGATCTATTCATTTGTTGAAATGAAGAAATGGAATTCATTGAATTTCATTTTCTCATGAATACCTTATAAATATTGATAATGAATCAAAGAGAATTCGACTAATGATTGAAGTGAATAGCGAAGTAGAGTAAAAAAATCTATAAAGAATTTTTCATTTTCAATTAATTATCTTCAATTTTAAATAATGCTTCCCTTCGGAAGCAAAAATAATCGGTCTCCATAAAAGGACAGAATTTATTAATTTCACCGATAATATATATACATGTGAAATATATATAT